GTGGCACAATCACAGCTCACCACGGCCTCAATCTCCTGGACTCAGGCAATCCCTCCACCTCAGCCTCCTGAGCATCTGGGACCACAGGTGCAGGCCACCACGCCTGGCTAATTTTTAGATTTTTTTGTAGAGATGAGATCTCACTGTGTGGCCCAGGCTGGTCTTGAACTCCTGGCCTCAAGCAATCCTCCGGCCTCGGCCTCCCACAGCGCTGGGATTTCAGGCATGAGCAACTGCTCCCAGCCTACTCCCATGAAAATATTCCTGTAACAAGCCCCCTAGGTGACTCTGATACTCACTGCTATACAGAGGAAGCCATCTGCAGAAAGCCATCTGAAGACTCAGGAAAATGAGGACACTGGAATGGATTCCAGTTGTCCCCGGAGTGTCCTCAGGGGATTGGTTCCAACACCCCCTTGGACACCAAAACAGATGGATGCTCAGATCCCTGATATGAAATTGTGTAGTATATGCATATAACCTACACACATGCTCCCATATATTTTATGTCATCTCTAGATTGCTTGTAACACCTAATACAATATTAATGCTACATGCATTGTTGTTATACTGTACTTTTTCTTTGTATCTTTTTTGTTGTATTTTTCTCCAAATATTTTCAATCCCCAGGTGGTTGAAAAGAGGACAAACTGTATTTATGTGCATTGGACTCAGACACCCCCAGTCCTAACTCCCAAAAGTGGGACATTGCCTTGATCAGAGTATTGGTAACAGAAGTATCAGCATCCTTGAAGAGTTCGATGACAGCTTGCACACCGGAGTGGTTGGTGAGAGATGCCGCCGAGGACGAGTTCCCTTGATCTCAGTGGGAATAGCAGACGCGAGGCAGCAATGCTGCCTTGTCTTGGACCAGCTGGGCACAGTGACTAGAACGCGCTACAGCAAAGCATGGACAAAAGATTTCCTGACTTGTGGGGACCTGTGGTATTGGCTAACTGATCCCACAGTCCCTATTAAACAGATGGACAGCCTTCTAAGGGGATGAATGACACCTGTTGGCGAGACAATTCTAGGTCTGCCGTGCAGAAACCAAGCTCAAGACTTCATGGTGGAGACTCCGAGCCTCTCCCTGTTTCCAGACTAAATCAGGATATTGACCCAGGGCCTCTTGACTCAGGGGCTAGCTGAGGCCCTCTGAGGAAGGATGTTGCAACTGTTGCCTCATGTCACGTATGTACCATAAATCGTACCGTAACCTTCCCCAGAGGGACTTATGGCCATTTGTTAGGAGGACGCAGCACGGGGAAAACAGAAATACCCAGACCTTTCAGGGTTAAAATGCTAGTTCTTACCAGTCTACTGGATTAGGAGGAAAAAAAAAAAGACAATGGCTCTGCGTGGATACTGATGTCCAGGGACCTGAAAGCCTCTGTGATTTAGTTTTCGGAGTAAAGGCTGATGGGGGTTGTGTGAACGGTGGACTCGCAGCCCTTGTTCTCCTCACAGGAAGCCATCCTTTGGTTACTTCCTTAGTCCCAAAACAGACAGAAGCAGGATACAGCAGAGTCATCACACCGTTCCCTTACCCCATGAGATAAGGATTGAAGAAGGGCCAAGTACAAGGCTTGAAAACCCCCTCTCCTGCTCCCACCAGGACAGTGAGAGCTCACTTGTAACTCACCATTGGCTCAGCAGCTTGGCCAGCGGTTCAAGTCCAATGGGTCCTGGACGGTGGGTCCCTTTTTCTTTGCTGTTGTTGCTGGACCTTGGAATCACCTGGAGATTTTTTTCAGTGGCAATGTCTGGCTTCCACCCCCAGACATGGCAGTTTAATGATAATAGAGACATGGCCAGATGTGATGGCTCAGGCCTGTCATTCCAGAACTTTGGGAGGTCGAGGCTGAAGGATTGCTTGAGGCCGGGAGTTTGAGCCCAGCCTAGGCAACAGAGCGAAACCTCATCTCGACAAAAATAGAGAGAGAATAATAGGGGCATATGATTCGGATATAGAGATTTTTTAAAGGATTCTCAGATGAATCTGATGGGAACCACTGTCTTGTGGAATGACAACAGGTTATCACAGTTGGCAATGTTATCCACAGCTGTTCTAGATCGGCACCTTCGTGGCGGCAAAGCAACACAACTAACACCTGAAATAAAGCTATTGCCATGGGGAAGAATGCTACGTTGTCCATTCTGATCAGTAAGAAAAATCAAAAGAACTTCCGTTTTTATGTGGCAGGGGCGACTGCCTCTATCTTGCTCTATTTAGGATAGTCTGGAGGGACTTTTCTCGACTTCTGACAATTATAATGGACCATCATATGGAGAACATTATGCTACCTGGAGTCGGTGAACAGAAATCAGCAAGCACCTAGATAACTTGGAAGACAAACACGGGCAAGAGGTTGCGAGATAAATTCTGCAGTTCAGGAGCCTGCCAAATACGTGAATCTTGTCAGGGTCTAGCGGTCTGGGGACACGACGAAATGTCTGTTTAAAGGGGAGGAACAGGGCAACCCCTTCAGGGTCCCTCCCACTGCAGGAGCTTTTCTGGCCTCTCAAGAAATCCTGCTTCCAAAAACAAAAAGGAGCATCCAGGTAGCCCGGCACAGTGGCTTACACCTGTGGGCTTAACGACTCAGGCGGCCGAGGTGGAAGGATCTCTTGAGCCCAGGAGTTCAGGCCAGCAGTGAGTGAGGATCACACCGCTGCACCCCAGCCTGAGCCCCTCCAGCTCGCTTTCTTTTTCTGAAGCAGAGTCTCTCACCGAGGCAGGAGCGCAGTGGCATGTCTCACTGCAGCCTCGACCTGCTGGGTTCGGGCGATCCTTCCACCTCAGCCTCCGGGTCGCTGGGACTACAAGCGTGCACCACCCCACCCAGCTGATGTCAAACTTTCTTTTGTAGAGATGAGGTCTTGCTGTGTTGCCAAGGCTGGTCTTGAGCGCCTGGATTCACATCATCTTCCTGCTTTGGCCCCTCAAAAGTGCTGGGATTACAGACATGAGCCACCACACCCAGCAAAATCTGTGTATTTTATTAAATGTTAAATTATGTCCTAAAAGCATTACTTGGCTGGGAACAGTGACTCATACCCATAATCCCAGAGCCTTGGGACACCAGTTATACTATATTTTTATGGAAGAAAGGAAGTATAGACGAGACAGTTGAAAACCAGTCTATGACCATACCACTCTGAACACACCTCATCTTGTCTGAAAAACAACTAGTTTTAGCTAACTGAACATAAATATTTTTTAGTTGTCTGAAAAGAAATGGATACAACAGAAACGATATAAAATGACTTTTATTTACATAAGTTATATATATATAGAACATAATTGTTTTCTTTAGAACAAGAAAATTTACAAATGACAGATATTGCTTTTTTTGTCAAAGACTTCTTCAAGCAAGGTAGTACATATGATCATTCTATTTCAAATAACATGGTAGTAAACAGTGGATATTAATGTATTTATCTGTGCCTCAATCATTTATCAACAATTAGGCTTTAAAACCATCATGTCAATCACTTGCTAAGACATAAGTGTTCAGGAGGAAAAGTTAAGAAAAGATAAAATCTTTAATTATATCTCCGTTAAGATTTATAAAATAACAAGTACACTGCAACATCTTCTTTACATGAGTCAGACTTAACATAGGTCTTTCCATCTTGTAAGGTAAACATGCTGATTAAGATTCTCTTTTCCAAGATTAGTTTTAAGGATATAGCAGTAGGATAATTTAGCCAGCTGACTTGATTCTCTAATTCATACAATGAATGCCCTTGTATTTTTATACAGTAAGAAATTACATCTTTCATAAAATTCATTTAATATAGATACAAGAGACAGATATCAACAAATCTGAAAAATAAATATTACACAGGGATAAATAATAGTTCAGTCATGGCAATCTAACACCCAAACTAATACTAATGAAGAGAAAGAAACCTTTTCAGAATATGAGATTTTTTAAAATGTACAAAAACAGGGTATTAAACTAGCAAGTGTGATTTACTATCATGATTGTTGTGACATTTATTTATATGAAATAAGTGCCTAGCTTTAGAAAATTCTATTCAGAATTATGTATCCTCCTGTGTGACAAAAAATTAAGCAGTAAATTGAACTGAATGGCAATGAATAACAAGTGCTCTACCAGCAGTAGTTTCAATAAATCAGCATGAATTTTTTTATTATTCTTTTTTTGTAGGGGTTGCCCTCTGTCACCCAGGCTGGAGTGCAGTGGTACGTTCACAGCCACCACAGCCTTGACCTGCTGGGCTCAGGTGATGCTTCCGCCTCAGCCTTCCAAGTAGCTGAAACTACAGGCGCACGCCACCATGCCTGGCTAAAATCAGCATGATTATTAGACTTGCTTGGACATGATTCTCTTTTACCATCATTTTTCCAATACACAAACATGATCATGTAGATTTTAAAACACCTTTCCAAGTGCAATATCAAGCATTACATAACGCATCGACACAATTTTAGTTTTTAGGAACAATTTATAACTTCAGTGACAACTCACACATATAGACATCAACATCTTACAGTAGAAAACTAAAAGGCCAACCCAGGAGCTTTACAAGAAGTCCAGAAGCTGCCACAGAGACCACCTGGCCTGCCAACTAAAACACATTTTGCAAAAAAGTTTCCAACTCCTGAGTGAATGCATTATCAACCCAAAAGGCTTTTCAAATAAAATCAGAATAAATCTGCTCTTTGAGAAGTTTAATTTAAACCACTAAAGATTTGCTTGTGTAGAAATTAGAATAGCATATGAAATCATCAATTAGATCTTGAAATTAGACACATATTCGTATCTATGATTATCACTGACTTTATAAAGTCTTATCTTATTTTCTGGTTTTTAAACATCAAAATTATGTTCTGTGCTTAAAGAGCTAAGTGTTCCTTGAGCAGAATTTCATGAGGAAAAAACTGAAGAAATTGCTTATCTTAAATACGGAAGGGGTGGGGTGTGTGTGTGTGTGTGTGTGTGTGTGTGTGTGTGTGTGAGAGAGAGAGAGAGAGAGAGAGAGAGAGAGAGAGAGGAGCAGGCTGAGTCTTGTGTGGAAGTTTATCTCATATAGTTAAGAGTCCCTCCCCATAAAAATCCTGAGATTATCCAAGAAATAAGAAAAACAAAAATTCACAGTACAAAGTCTAAACTAAACTATGAGGGGAAAATGTATCCAAGACATATATACCATCTAAATATTTTTGGTTCTATCTTTTAAATATCTCTAAAATTAAAAAGGAAAAGAAGACAAACACAAAGCTGTTAATGCCTTCCTTACCTACAATGTGAAGGGTGAAAATAATTAAAAGTGGATATCCTTTTAAATAAAAATTTTAAAAATAAATAAGTTCTTTGATGTATCATCTTTATAAATAACGAGTTTAAATACTAGTTTTGCAACTAGGATTAATGTTACATCACCATGAGTTAGAAAAATACACTTTTTTAAAGTCAGATGAACAGCTCGTAATAGAAAAGTGTCTTTAACATTTACCATACTAAAGTGGAATTTGACATTTGTTTTCACATATAGTCATGTGTTATGTAATGACGTGTTCTGAGAAATGCCTGCCTTGTTATGTGATTTTGCTGCCATGTGAGCCGAGACTGTAGTTCCACAAACCTGGATGGTACAGCCTGCCACACATCTAGGCTATGTGGTGTAGCCCACTGCGCCTGAGCTAGGAACCTATACAGCATGTTACAGTCCTGAATACTGCAGGCAACTATAATACAATGGTGAGTATTTATTATCTAAATACAGAGAAAGCAATGCATTGCGTTATAATGACTTAGATGTCATGGGGTAACAGAAATTTTTCATTCCCATTTTAATCTTATGGGACCACTGTCATATACATGGTCTGCCACTGACTCCAGCATTGTTATGCCGTGCATGATTATACGCAGGGGCAACTGAAAAGGCTTCCTCTCATCATTCCCCTAAAAACAAACACCTTCACAGAAGAAATGCTAAATGTTAAATACAATACAACCTCCAAATACACCTGCATTGTGATTTATACAGAGACATTGATCCACAACATACCCAAATGTCCATGTGTGCTCAGCACAGGAAGAGTCAAAATGTAAACAAAAGTTGCTATTTCGATCTCAGAAAGCAGTCTTAATTGCTTGGCATTTGCAAAGTGTGGAATCAATCAGAACAAAGGGACCCTCAGACACGTTTTTCTACTGATTATAAAAGCTTCAAATCAAGCTTATTAAATATTCAAGTGAACCTAAAGAAAAGTAGACAATGATGCTTTGTTCTAAATACTGTTTTGTTGATGTAACTGACTGAAAATCCTAGGCTTAAAACACACACACAAAATTGTTTTATGCTGTTTCATCCACTTCAATGAAGATATCATTGAAAAAATATTCAGAGACTGAGGCTGCCTCCTCTTCAGGTGCTCTGTTTTGGCCACTTTTACATCCTTTTTTCAGTAAGGGCCGATCATGAGAAATCTAGAAAGGTAATACAAATAAAACAAAACAACAAAAATACAATTATTTGTATACATGGCTGGTGGCACTCTCAACAGATATAACCTGTCTGAAAACCAATTGGGCAATAAATATGGAGCTTAAAATAAGTCCCTAATCCTGACTCAACAACTTCACTTCTAGGCTGTTATATTAAGTATATAAACCTGAACACAGTAAGAGTTGTATGACTAAGATAACCTTGGTAACATTAGTTGTGATAATAAAATTGAAAGCAACTACATATACAACACCAGACATAATTAGGTAAATTACAGTATGCCCACAATCCACTACTTTATCCTAATTTCTATGAAAACATTAAAATAAAGAAAAATATAACATTGTTAAATCCATAATAAAAATATTTTAATTAATGGCATAAGAATAACAGACACATGAAACAGAACACCATCGAAGGAAACATCACAAATGAAAGATACTTTGTCAAAAATTAGCATAATTACATATCTATAAAAAATAAAGACAGCATGGTAATTGCAAATGAAAAGACATATATCGGCCAGGCTCGGTGGCTCAGCCTGTAATCCCACATTTTGGGAGGCTGAGGTGAGTGGACTGCCCAAGCCCACGGGTTTGAGACCTGCCTGGACAACTTGGCAAGACCTCATCTCTACAATAAATCAAAAATTTAGCCGGGCGTGGTAGTGCGTGCCTGTAGTTCCAGCTACTTGGAAGGCTGAGGCAGAAGGATCGCCGGAGCCCAGCAGGTGGAGGCTGCGGGGGCCGGGAGCAGCCACTGCACTCCAGTCTGGGCGACAGAGTGAGACTCCAACTCAAAAAAAAAAAGAAAAGACATATATCAGTGAAACACAAGACGAGAAATAGCCTCCATGTATGGAAATTTAGTTATCTGATTCAAAAGAAAAAATAATTGGATTTTTCAAATAAATGATAATAGACAACTTTATAACCATCTCAGGAGGAAAAACTCAGACCTAGACCACACCAAAACAAATTCTAGATAGATCAAAAGATTCAAACGTAAACGCATTTAAAAAAAAAAAAAAACTTACTATAAAAATGCCATGGAAAGGTCAGGTGTGGTGGCTCAGCCTGTAATTCCAGCACTTTGGGAGGCCAAGGTGAGAGGACTGTCTGAGCCCGTGAGTTCGAAACCAGCCTGGGCAACCTGATGAGACCTCGTCTCTACAATAAATCACAAAAACCAGCTGGGAGTGGTGGCATGCGTCTGTTCCAGCTACCTGGAAGGCTGAGGCAGAAGGATCTCCTAAGCCCAGCAGGTTGAGGCTGAGCCATGAGCGTGCCACTGCACTCCAGTCTGGGCAACAAGAGTGAGACTCCAACTCAAAAAAATAAATAAATAAGCAAGCCATGGGAAAAACATTTTTATAATCCAGGATGGAGGATAGGACAGGGTACATTTTAAAATTACTTGAAAGCCAGAAGCCATAAAGGAAAAGATTGGCAAATTCATCTACACAAAAATTTAAAATATTTGCATGAAAAAAACCACCATATACAAAAAAGATAAATTGACATGCACGGGAAAAAAAATTTGCAACTTATATCACAAAGGGCTCTTTTCCCTTAATATAATAGTAACTTCCACAAATTAATATGAAAAAGACCTATGGCTGGGCACAGTGGCTCACGCCTATAATCCCAGCACTTTGGGAGGCTGGGGTGAGAGGACTGTCTGTGCCCATGGGTTCAAGACCAGCCTAGGCAACTTGGTGAGACTTCATCTCTACAATAAGTCAAAAAAACTAGTCGGGTGTGGTAGTACGCGCCTGTAGTTCCAGCTACTTGGAAGGCTGAGGTGGAAGGATCGCTGGAGCCTAGCAGGTCGAGGCTGCAGTGGCCGGGAGTGGCCACTGCACCGCAGCCTGGGCGACAGAGTGAGACTCCAATTAAAAAGAAAAAGAAAAAGACCTATAACCCAGTTTTTTAAAAAAAGTCAAATGATATGAACAGACATTTTACAGAAAATAAAGCATAAATGACTCAAACACACGAAGAAATGTTCAACCTCACTCAATGAAGAATATGTGCTCATTAAATCTATAAAAAAGGTGTCTAGGCGCATGACTGTAGTTCCAGCTACTTGGAAGGCTGAGGTGGAAGGAACACCTGAGCCCAGTAGGTTGAGGCTGTAGTGGCCGGGAACGTGCCACAGCCCTCCAGCCTGGGTGACAGTGTTAGATTCCACCTCAAAAAAAAAAAAGAACTGAAACTGATTTAATCCCTATGGAGGATAAATCAGGAAGTACCTATCAAAAGAATAATCATTCCTTTTGACCAGCAATTCTGGTCAAATTCTGGTCAAGTGACCCAGTATAAGTTAACTATTACCATGTTGTTTTAAATAGCAAACAATTAGAAACAACCTAAATACCTACCAGTATAAGAGTGACTTAAAACCTTTGTAACTTATAAAATCTTGGTCTCAGAAAATAATACTAGGAAATAATATGAAATCTTTTGAACAGTTTAAAGATGTTATTTACAAAAGTACACCTTTCAAAGGCTCATTACTATTCAATAGATGATCATCAGCCTTTTCTCTGTTGAGCTCTTAAGTTACTTCAATATATATATTTTTTAAGGAGTTCCACTCCGTTGCCCAGACTTGAGTGCAGGGGCATGCTCATGGCCACCCCAGCTTTGACCTGCTGGGCTCAGTCAATCCTTCTGCTTCAGACTTCCAAGCAGCTGGAACTACAGGCGTGTGCTACCTATGCCCGGCTAATTTTTTTCATTTATAGTAGAGATGAGGTCTTGCTAAGTTGCCCAGGCTGGTCTCAAACCCGTGGACTCAGGCAATCCTCTCACCTCGGCCTCCCAAAGTGCTGGCATTACAGGCTTGAGCCACCGCACCTGGTTATTCTCTTTTTTTTTTTTTTTGAGTTGGAGTCTCACTCCATCGCTCAGGATGGATTGCAGTGGCTCGCTCACAGCCACCCCAGTGTCGACTTGCTGGGTTCCGGCGATCCTTCCGCCTCAGTCTTCCAAGTAGTTAGAACTACAGGCATGTGCTACCATGCCTGGCTCATTTTTGATTTATTATAGAGACGCAGTCTAGTCAAGTTGCCCGGGCTGGTCTCGAACCCATGGACTCAGGCAATCCACTCACGTTGGCTTCCCAAAGTGCTGGAATTACAGGCTGAGCCACCGAGCCCAGCCATACTCCAATATTTTTACAGTCTTTGATACAGGTTTAAGTTTTTCCATTCCGGTACTTGCCACTGAACAACTTCAGAATACATAGAAATAAAACGCACAAACAAATCCTAGTTTCAGTTAGTTCCTTCAATTCTTATAGCTGTCAGGACATTTCTCCTAAGGCCAATAAAACACAAGCACTCTTCGTTTTGCTTCCACAAGTCAGAAGGAATGGTAATTCAGTGCCCAGTTCTGGCTAGTTCAACAGCTCTGTACTAAACTAACTTTAAAATAATTTCTGATATTCAAATAAAAATAACAATTATCATATTTTCTTTAGTTCAATCTGATATTCAACTCATTTCATATAAACAAAATACTGTAGCTATCACATACCTGAGCTGCTGAACTGCCAGTATTCTCAGACTGAGTATTAATAACACTTGGAGATGCAGGCAGATCAGAGGACTCTCGATTTTTTTTCTGGCTTTCATTGACTGGATTGGATCTTTTCGATTTCTGTCTTGACGCAGGTATAAGAGGCTTTAGACGCTTCTTACTATGGACCTGAGCAGGTTCATCAGACTCCAAACTACTTTTTGAACATATTAAAGACAAAAATCCCAGGGGCCTTCTGCCAGGTCTAGAAATGCAAATATAAACACATTCAGAAATATCCAGATGAACACATTCTTTTTTTTGAGTTGGAGTCTCACTCTGTTGCCCAGGCTGGAGTGCAGCGGCATGCTCACGGCCACTGCAGCCTCAACCTGCTTGGGCTCAGGCGATCCTTCCGCCTCAGCCTTCCAAGTAGCTGGAACTACAGGCACGCACCACCACACCCAGTTAATTTTTTTGATTGCAGAGATGAGGTCTTGTCAAGTTGTCCAGCCTGGTCTCGAACCCCTGGGCACAGACAATCCTCCCAAAGTGCTGAGATTATAGGCATGAGTAACCACACCCAGTCAGACACATTCTTAATATCAATTTATGCTTTGGGAGGCCAAAACAGGAGGAATGTTTGAGATTGGGAGTTCAAGACCAGCCTGGGCAACACAGCCAGACCCTGTCACTACAAAAAATAGAAAAATTAGCCAGGCACAGTAGTACACGACTGCAGTCCCAGGTACTCAGGAGGCTCAGACAGGAGGATCACTGGAGCCCAGGAATTTGAGTTCCAATTGCACCACTGCACTCTAGCCTGGGCGATGGAGCGAGAATTCGACTCAAAAAGAAAAGCAAACAAACAAAAAATCCCCCCAAAACCAACTTCTTTCCATTAATGCTAAATGTCACACACTACTAAGTACTGACACCTCTATGCCATGACATGTATTTGCGGCAAAGGTCAAGAGAGGCTTACTCTAGATCAGTGTTTCCCAAGCTTAAAAGTGAGTACAAATCACCTGGAGATCTTATTAAAATGAAGATTCTGACTGAGCTTGGTGGAAGAAGTGGACTGAGTCTGCATTTCTAAAAGGTTCTCAAATGATGTCCATACTACTGGCTCCAGGACTCCACAAGGCTTTGGGGCAGTCATCAGCAAGCTATGGTCCACAGGCCAAATGCAGCCCACTACCAATTTTGTAAGTTTTGCTAGAACACACGTTCATCTGTTCACATGCAGTTTATGGTCGCTTTTGTGCTATAGCTGCAGAGCTGAATAACTGTAAGAGAGACCATCTGGCCCACCAAACCTAAAATGTATACTCTAGGCCATTTTACAAGGAAAATTTGCTGACGTCTCTTCTAGAACTCTGCTTTTCAACCTGTTTAAATCCAAACCCTCATGATACTGCCTTCACTCTATTTTCTTTTCAGAGACAAGGTCTCATTATGTTGCCGAAGCTGGAGAGCAATGGCTATTCACAGGTGAGATCACAGGTCACTGCAGCCCTGAACTTCTGTTTAAGTGACATTCCTGAGTAGCTAGGATCACAAGTGTGTCAGGCTGTCATTCTGTATTACCCAAGAAAAGATATTGCTGAGCTTTACTTTCTGTAATTTAGATGACAAAAACAGATTTTTATTAAATATGTCTTTTTAAGCTAGACATGTCCTTTCCCCCTTTCCCTTAGTGGAGGCTAGTGCATGCCTCTCTTCAACTCAGCAGCACCATGTTGAGTTTTTAAATGGTGCTGATAAGCCAATAACTATTGATAACCCAGAAGACTTCCTTTTAGAACACCAGGAAAAACAACAGGGAGGAGTTGGCTTTCGCCTTAAATTGCAACACTTACTCTTATAGGAAGAAAAGTCATGGTTTATCTCTTTGGTATGCCATAAAAGAGAAATGTGACACATGATTTGAGACTCCAGATAACTTCCAAACTTACCTCTGATAGAGCCCTGTCTCATATCATATACATATGTGTTAGTAGCTACTGTATACGGTGGAATGTGTAATGATCAAAATAACCATACACAATCTGAAAAAATAAGCATACAATACATTCTAAAGATTTTTCTATCTACAACAGTCAAAATTTTGGCACTGAAATTTAAGCTCTCATCGTATAGAATAAATATTTGTCTGGAACATTACTGTATTTCCTTTGCTGCAACTTCTTTCCTTTACACTACTGAAGGAAGTGTATGTTTATTCAATGCCAGTCTTGGTCCTAGATTTAACCTTTACATATATGTTACATCTTTCCGTGCAGGTTGCATTTACTGCAAAGGAGCAAGAAAGAGAGAATGCGCATGCAACATTTATTAAAGGCTCTTCTTGATACCTGGATAGTGGAGTTTTTGAAGATGACGTTCTGCTACTCATTTGTTCAGACTTAGGAGCCGCATCGGTTCTTTCTTCCTGCTCAGACACAGTCATTGCATCCTGAGGTAACTGAGGCATATTGTTTTCTACAGGTGTATCAAGAGATCTAGAGCCTATATTCTGAAAAACTGATTCAACTTGCTCTTTTTGAGGTGCTGGAGTTGTATGTGTGTTTCCTGAGGTAGGAAAAACATCTTGTCCCTTGTAAGACTCCCCTTCAAAAAAGAGAGCAAATGGAAAGCACACATATTAAAAACAACACATTCAACTTAATCCCCATATTTGAAATAAAAACTCATGGTATTCTGTAATAAACCTACCCTAGTAAGAATAAGCTAAATTATCATTAGTGCAGTTTCTTGGACTGTGAAAAATATTCTAACTGGTCAAAAGACATGGTAACAGCTTCTGCACACAGATACAAAATAGCTGTATCAAAATATTTTGACGTAGGAAATCTTTTGTCAGAAATACTTCTTGAACTATCAAAAGGAAGGGTAATCATTTTCTAAAAATCTAAGGGTTGTTAAAATGTAGAAGCTAAACCAATCCAAAATATAGGTGGTAACTCTTGGGTATCTGTGGTCTCTTGGAGAGCAAAACCCTCAGACTCTCAAACATTCAAGTTTAGCTAAAGAGTTCTCTTTCCTTATTATTTAAGTAAACAAAAGTCAAAATGGCAATTAATTAGGACAAAATGATGAAATTTTTTTGTTAAATAAAAAAACCTATTTTGCCTCAGGATAATTGTTTCTAAGGCCTTGTTCCTGTGAGAATACTACAGTTCCATGAAGAATGAAATTGGTAAGAATACTGCTAAAACAATCCTGTTAAAGGTAGTATATAACATATTCACTAACACTTCAATGTGCTGTGGTTTATTCAATGTTTTTATTAGAGAGAAGACGATGAATGCAAGCAATCTTAGGGCATATCTAGAGGCTGGAAACTAGCCATATTACAGTTTCCGGTTAACACTGGGACAATTCAGATGAAATCTATGACTCTGTATTAGCATTGTTAGTGTTCTAAAGAACCAGAACCATCATAGGTTATCAAACACCTCCATTTTGTAACTCTGACTCTATAAGATGCCATCAGCAATATTTTTTATTCTTAAGGGCCATTACCATGGTTAATTAATAGCTAAAAATGTAACTGATAAGCCTAAGACACAGGAAGTTTGAAAGAAAAGATAAATACTATCATAAAAGAAATGAAAAACAAAGAACTGTATAAATGTAGGATAAATGCAGTAGTAATGAGGGAAATAAATCCTAAATGATTTACTACCCTGTAGAAATTTTGGATTTTAAGATCTTTTGAGCCTCCATAGGTGGCTTACACCTAAAACAATCCCTAGTACTAAACTAACTCTCAGAGTAAAGTTAAGAACAACAACAACAAAAAAAAATTCCTTCATATTCAGTTTTCTAAGTCCTAAAATGTACTTGTGGAGCTTTTACAGAAAATCCTTGTAGCCACATAGCTTTCTAATGATGGCAGGATGAAAGGAGCTAACTCCTTTTGAATACAAAGTGTCAACTCAGAGGGCTTAGCAGGAAAGATGTGCTGATAATAAAAGTATTACTCTTAGAGAGAGTGTTTCAATTTCGTATTTAAACAAGGTGCATCAAAAATAATCAGGAGTAGGCCGGGCGCAGTGGCTCACACCTATAATTCCAGCACTTTGGAAGGCCAAGACGAGAGGATTGCCTGAGTCCACAAGTTCGAGACCAGTCTAGGCAACTCGTCTCTACAATAAAACACAAAAATAGCCAGGCGCAGTGGCATGTGCCTGTAGTTCCAGTTACTTGGAAGGATGAGGCAGAAGGATCACCTAAGCCCAGCAGGTGGAGGCTGAGGTGGCCATGAGTGTGCCACTGCACTCCAGCCTAAGTCACAGAGTGAGACTCCTAGTCAAAAAAAAAGAAATTAATAATAAGAATAATCAGGGGTACTTAGTAAAATGCAATCATGTTAAAATTTATTTCGCTTACCTGTGCCGTCAAAAACATTTATTAATTCCTTTGAATACACCTGTTTTAAGAAAATTTACAAAAAAAGAATTTAGAAATCCATTTATCAAGTAAAACGAAAATTAATTATATTTCCTTCTTTCTTTAAGTAACAAAAGTATGTATCTCCCAGAAAATTCTAGGGTCAGACATGTCTCACAGGAATTCTACCAAATGTTTATGGAAAAGATATTGCTACTGTTATATAAACTCTTCCAGTGCCCATTAGAAGACAAAAAGCTGTCAAATGCCTTTATAAACCAGGTGTAATACTGATACCAACTAACCAAAAATACAAAATAAATAGAACAAACAGCATATCAAAAGACTCCTACATCACAATCAAACAGAATTTGTGTTTCAGGAATGCAAAGATGGTTCAACATTATAAAATCGGACAGGCATGGTGGCTCATGACTGTAATCCCAGCACTTTGGGAGGCTGAGGTGAATGAAATGCTTGAGGCCAAGGAGTTCAAGACCAGCTTGGGCAACACAGTGAGACTCCATCTCTACAAAAAAAAAATAGGAAAATTAGCTGGGTATGGTGGTACATGCCTGTAGTTCCAGCAACTTAGGAGGCTGAGTCAGGATAATCGCTTGAGCTAGGAAGGTCAAGGATGCGGTGTACCATGATTGTGCCACCACACTCTAGCCTAGGCAATAGCATGAAACCTATCTCAAAAAAAAAACCTCTATTTGCAAAACAGGTATCCAATAATACTCATCCTTGAAAAAAACTTAATAAAATACAACAGAGGGACATTTTCTAAACACCACAAAATGTAACTAGTGCAATCCAGAATCCAGTATCCCACATAATAAACCCTAGAAGTACTCTCATTAAAATCAAAAGTAAGAAAAAGGATGTGTATTATTAGGACTACTTTTTTTTTTTTTTTTTTTGAGACAGGGTCCAGGCTGGAGTGCAGTGGCAATCGTGACTCACCACAGCCTCAACCTTCTGGACTCAAGCAGTTTTCCCACCTCAGCCTCCCAAGTAGCTAGGACTATATAGGTGTGTACCACCATGCCTGGCTAACTGAACTTTTTGTAGAGACATCGTCTTGCTATGTTGCCCAAGGTGGACTTGAACTCTTGACCTCAAGTAATCCTCCCACCTCAATCTACTGAAGAACTGGGATTATAGGCCTGAACTACCATGCCTGGCCCAAATCAGTACTATAAACCAGAAAATGTATTTTAAGTCTCAAAGGACTTTCAATGTAAACATACTCTCCAGAATTCAAACACAAATAAAGACTGATACATCTGATTAGAGAAAATTAACGCTTTGTACTTGGAGACATCTCGCAGATCACCTACCAGCAGCTCAGTCATATTTCTTTATGAAATAGTGAAGAATAAACCTCATATTAAATAGTATAGTGTTGGAACCAATTATTTTATTGTAATGATATTTGACTTATACTGGAATTTTGGATATTGAGGAATTTATATATGACAAAAAAATCAAAATTTTCTATCATATTTTTCTAACATGTGACATGTGAAACAGTCACCAACATGCAGTGCAGGTTCATGGATCGATGTTATGCAACAGTAATTTGTTTGACGTCTTCTACCTGGTATTTTTCTACTCAAGCAGACAATGCAACAGGAGGAAGTCACGTTTGCTTCCTTCCACATTAATAATATGCAATTTACCGTCCTGCTGTTTTTCAAAGAATATGTGGAAGGGTATACTCATGATTCCTGAAAACCACTTCTCAACTAATCACTCATATCTCAGTATAAATTTCATGTCTTTGTTTTCTCGTGCAATTTGAATGAAAAACTTCAAGGAAACCTAAATTTTTGAAAAATTTGCACTTGCATAAATTTGTCCTGCATAATTACCAGCAATCTCTCTACGTTTTCCTGAGAGGGGCCATCCAAGTGTAAAGAGTTAAAAAATGTTTACAAGTCTATCTGAATACAGTATGTGTGCATTCCAGAATTCTGTAAACACTGAGTATCAGAAAACTGAAAATCTGAAATCTGAAATGTTTCAAGCTCTGAAACTTTTTGAGTGCTGACATGCGTTCAAAGAAAATGCTCACTGGAGCACGTCATATTTTGGATTTAGGATGCTGAATCTGTACGGATAATGCAAATAAGTATAATGATAATGTTTCAAAATCCAAAAAAATCTGAAATCTGAAACACTTCTGGTCCCAAGCATTATGGATAAAGGATATTCAACTTTTCTTTACTGCTAAAATGCTAAAAGCAAAGTTTAGAAAATAAAAACGACAAACAAGCCCAAGGGACATTCTGTTTCCCTGACATGTTCTCGCCATCGAAGATCTATCCTTTCTATAATGGCACATTATAATCTGGCAACCTCAGTTTGCATTTAGTAAAGTACTATGGTCTTTTGTCCAAATCATTAAACATACGTTTAAAACAAAACAAAACGATATCTGCATGGAATGCTGATACATTGTTGAAACTGGGTGACTGGTACATGGGTATATTATACTGTTTACCTTTAAATATATTTGAAAATGTTCACATTAAAAAGCTAATTGCTGGGTATGGTGGTTCACGCCTATAATCTCAGTACTTTGGGAGGACTGTTTGAGCCCAGGAGTCTGAGATCAGCTTGGGCAATGTACAAAAAAATTTCTAAATATTAGCTGGGTGTGGTGGGCTTGCCTGTAGTCCCAGCTTCTCGGGACGTTCAGGCAGGAGGATTGCCTGAGCCCAGGAGGTCAAGGCTGTGGCGAGCTGTGATCATGCCTCCACACTCCAGCCTACAGAGCTGAAATCCTGGCTCAAAAAAAAAAAGTTAATCAAAGAAATCTGCATGAAGGAAAAAAGGCAGTCAAAAGACAAATGACAAACTGGGGAAAAATATTGATTTGCATCCCATTATCACAGGCATACCAGAGTTCCTCCAGATCTGTAAGAAACAGATCAACAAACCAACTGAAAAAAATGGGCAAAGAATTTTTTTTTTTTTTTTTTTTTAGTTGGAGTCTCACTCTGTCGCCCAGACTGGAGTGCAGTGGTTGCTCGCAGCCACCGCAGCCTCAGCCTGCTGGGATCCGGTCGTCCTGCTGGGATCCGGTGGTCCTGCCACCTCAGCCTTCCAAGTAGCCGGAATTACAGGTGTGCATTACCATGCCTGGCTAATTTTTTGATTTATTGTAGAGATGAGGTCTCATCAAGTTGCCCAGGCAGGTCTCGAAGCCGCAGGCTCAGGCAATCCACTCACCTCAGCCTCCCAAAGGCGCGAGATTACAGGCTGAGCCACCGAGCCCGGCTAGGAATTTTTTTTTTTAAAGTCATTTCACAGGAAAGGAAATAGACATGGCTCTTAAGCATACGAAAAGGTGTTCAATTTTACCCCTAACAGGATAAATTAAAACTATTCCAGAATATCCCATTTTAAAATGACCAAACATATGAAAGTATACTTGACCTGTTTCTACTATAATTCAAGAACTACTGGTCTTTAACTTTACCTTTGAAAATATAGATTCTAAGCCGGGCTCGGTGGCTCAGCCTGTAATCCCGCGCCTTTGGGAGGCTGAGGTGAGTGGATTGCCTGAGCCCGCGGCTATGCTGAGTACCAGAAACCAAAACAAGAGGGTATTAGAAAACCTACAACACAGTGACTGGTACTCAAATGTGGATGGTCTGCTCAGATTTCCCTGAGGCAGTGATGACTGAGCTGAAAAAATGTGTAGTTCTTGCAAGGGAAGTTTCACACAGAAGAGACATCAAATGAAATACTCTGGGACATGAAGGATGACAGCGCACCCAAGGAACTGAAAGACGGCCAATGAGGCCAGAAGGTGAGGCACAGACTAGCATAAAATGAGATTAGACTCCAAAAGAGGACAGACCATGCAGGGTCTTAGAGGCTCTGATTTTATTCCTAATACAACAGGTAGTCTTAAGCATCATCTAACACATCAGGAAACCTGTTCCAAGAGGTGAAGTATTTTGTTAAAGGTCCCATAGATCGTAGGTGGTACAGTCAAGATATAATGCTTTTGGCCTTATTTTTAGTTGCTACCACGGAGCTGGGAGCGAGTTTTCTGATTAACATCCACCAATTTTCATCTAGAACTGGTTGAAAGTGATAACCCAAAGCCAGGTCTACCTGGATCGCTTATGATGAAAAGTGTCAAATGTATCTTAATATGTATCTAATAAGTTAAAGAATCTAAAGAGAAAAACAGACACAGATCTGCTACAATATGGTCATCATACTTGCCTAGTGATTCTATCTTACCTCAGATGCACATTCTTGACAATCATCTCTCAAAGTGAGTGAACGTTTTTTGGCAGAAGGAACACGATTATTTTCATCAAGCCTGCAATACAATCTCTTCCTAGGTATAAAATCCCAATTATCAGGAGGTTTTTCAGAATCAGCTCTTCCAGAATTAGATAAACACATGGCATCTTGACCACCTGAAGTTACTGGTAAACAAATACTGTATAGAAAATAAATACATATTAAATCAGTGAATTAGAAGTTTCTTAGTGAGGTTAAAGGTCAAGCTATTCCAATTAAAATTCCAATAAAACTAAAAACTCCAGACTGACTAATATATACATGGGCATGGCCATAAAAATGCTAGTTTTCCGCACCTTGGGAGGCTGAGGTGAGTGGATTGCCTGAGTTCGTGGGTTTGAGACCCACCTGGGCAACTTGGTGAGACTTCATCTCTACAATAAATCAAAAAATTAGCCAGGCGTAGTAGCGCGCGCCTGTAGTTCCAGCTACTTGGAAGGCTGAGCGGAAGGATCACTGGAGCCCAGCAGGTCGAGGCTGCGGTGGCCAGGAGCAGCCACTGCACTCCAGTCTGGGCAACAGAGTGAGACTCCAACTCAAAAAAAAAAAAAAAAGCTAGTTTTGAGTTCCATTCATACTTAAAGGTTCATGAATCAAATTCCATAGTATTTAATTAAACCTGAGGTATATAAATAGTGTTTTTCATCTATGTAAAATTAAACTTTTCATCCAAATGTCCCTTCCCAAGATACCAATATAAAAGGCATCTATTTCTGGGCTGGATGTGATGGCTCATGCCTGTAATCCCAGCACTTTGGGAGGCTAAGGCGAGAGGATGTCTGAGTGCAGGGGTTCGAGACCGGCCTGGGCAACTTGATGAGACCTCGCCTCTACAATAAATCAAAGAATTGGCCAGGCATGGTGTTGCATGCCTGTAGTTCCAGCTACTTGGGAGGCTGAGGCAGAAGGATCTCCTGAGCCCAGCAGGTCGAGGCTGCTCTGACCAGCCTGGGCGACAGAGTGAGACTCCAACTCAAAAAAAAAAAAAAAGAGGCTTCTATTTCTAATGCTCCTTGATAGATAATTAAGTGTTTTAATGAACATAGGTTAAGGTACAACTTCACACTTATACAATAAAGAATTACAATAAGAGCATTAAAGATATATAAAGATGCTAGCTATCTCTGTACTATTTTTTGCAACTTTCTATGCATGTACATTTTGGAGTTTTATATGTGTATATGCACATGTACAAAGCAAACACACTTTTAACAGTGTCATTTTATGATCCAGACCACTAAATATATTAGCTTTCAAAATAACTTAAAATATCAAACAAGTTTCATACAAAAGTATTATATGAAACATTTAAATGGCATCTTTATCAGATATAAAATCAACCACATTATATAGTACAATAAATAATAAATAAGATCTCCACAACAATAACAATTTTGGTGAATGGCTTGTTCAATCACCACTAGTAAATGTATAAAGTACTTTTCCTCCTAGCAAAAACAGTTAAGCTTATTCATTACCTCATGTCATTCCTTTCTTCGTTATTCATTGATTTGACCAATATGGGTGCTGGCAGTAAAGGGTTTGGTATTAACTGTTCATTGGCATCAGTAAATTCTTCCACTGCACTGGTTGGGATTTCCACCAGTGTTAAAATGAATGCCTGTTCTTCTTCTCCATCTTGAGGTACATTCACAGCTAAATTCACAATCCAAGTTTAAAAGTTAGTAAAAGAAAACTGAACCATCAAATAACAGAAAATCAGTAACTTATTTCATTTCTAAAAAGAGTTTCTGGTCAACTTATCATCAAGACTAAATAAATAAGTTACACCCAAAAAAGTAATTTCATAAAGTATAAAGATGATATACAATGAAAAGATTTTATAACTCTGAATAACAAAACTGAAATAAAAAATTGGTCAAGGTTGTTTGTTTTAAATCTAAGGCTACCACAGACTAAAATAAAACTGTTTTGTGTTTTTCTATAGTTAAATAAGAGATAAAAATCAAACTATTCGGTTCTGTGACCCTTCACTGAAGTAGATTATCATACCTGCTGGGTCCTGAGGAATGATTCCATTCTCTTGTTGAATTTCTGGAATACTACCAGTTGGTATACACTGCCAAAAAAATTAAAATGAAAGAGTGAGGTTGGTCAAATTTTAGATTTAAAAAGTTTTCCTGCCAGTATGATATGGTGAAGAGATTAACTCAATGGCATCTAATCATACACATTCTTCCAAGTATATACATTTTTCCGAGCCTTTTGGCTATGCCAATCAAACTTTCAATTCACTTAAATAATCATAAATACAAAGAATCCTAATTAAATTTATGTGCATTCCATAAAATAATTTTTGAAATGATGTCTCACCACCGTCTTTCTACTGCCATCACAGTCTTTGTACTATTAGTAGGTGACATCTAGCAGAGGCAAACTACTCTCTTCCAGTATGGTCCCTCCAATATGTTTTCCACAAAATGCAATCCTGGGCCAGGCAGGTTGGCTCTCACTTGTAATCCCAGCACTTTGGGAGACTGAGGTGGGAGACCGCTTGAGCCTAGGAGTTCAAGACCAGTCTGGGCAACACAGCGAGATCTGTCTCTACAAAAATTTTTTTAAAAAATTAGCCAGGCATGTTAGTACCACCAGCCTATAGTCCCAGCTACTCAGAGGCTGAGGTTGAAGGACTGCCTGAGCTCAGGGGACTGAGACTGCAAACAGCCATAATCACGCCACTGTACTCCAACCTAGGAGACAGAGTGAGATCCCCAACTCAAACATACATACATACATACACACATAAAATACAATCCTGATTGTTATTCTCTACTGCTTAAAATCTTAAAATTTTCGTTTTGTAACCAAGTCAATAATTGATCCAGGCAAGAATCATCAATGGATACTAGAACTATGGGTGACAGACTACTGGGGTCTCATGTGACAAATTATTTAATAATCCAAAGTGGAAAAGATGCCATTATAAAGGAGGCAGCACTCTAGCCTGGGGACCAGTCAGTATTACCAATAATGGGACAAATTGATTCATATAACGTGTCTCTTGATGTAATGTAAAAGGAAGAACATATCATTACCTATGTATGGGTCTTGCCCAAATATGTTGAAGCTGAATCCAATAACGAGGAAGCAATTAAAAAAAAAAAAAATCCCAGACTGTGGGCCAACCTAGACTCACTCATCTAAAATATCAAATCCACAAAAGAGGAGAAAATACAAACGAAATGCTCTTGATTAATGGAAAGTAAGGAGAAACAAGAACTAAATGCAATGTGAGACCCTTAATTGGCTTCTGAATTAACAACAACAAAAAAACAAACAATAATGGACATGATTGGAACAACTGGGGAGATCTGAATGGGAACTGTATACAGTATCATATTATATTATTGAAACAATATTAAACAGTATGGTAACATTGAGTCTGACAGTAGTACTGTCCCTTCTCTGTAAGAGAATGTCCTTGTTCTTATTAGATACAAGATGGAATATTTAGGGGTGAAGGCTCACGTCTGCCTCTTACTTTCAAATAGGTCCGTTTTTAATAGTTCAGAGATGGCAGGAGAGCGAGAGAGAGAACAAATGAGGCAAAGTGTTAACAAATTAATGCATACAACTAACATGCACAGAAGAATTCTTTGTAACCGTCTTGTAACTTTCGCTAAGTTTGAAATTATTTCAAATAAAAAGTAAAAAGTTGGGAGTGGGGGATCTCACAACTTTAGATGGAACCAAACTCCTAGGAAGGCATAAAAATATTTTTATTACTTATTATGACCATATACAGGCTACCTTTCTAGCTTCATCTCTAATCACTTTCTTCATTACTATTCCACTCATATTACATGTAGCCCCTGAACATGTCACGCTGTTTCACACCTGTCCTTGACAATACTACTCTCTTCTCCTCCCTTCCTTCCTAATCCCCCCTTCCTTCCCTACCTACCTACCTACCTACGTATTATCTCTCTGCCTGAGCCAGGATCTTGCTACGTTGCCAGAATGGTCTTAAACTCTTGCTCGGCCTCAAGCAATTCTCCGGCCTCAAATTCCCAAGGTGCTAGGGTTATAGGTGAGAAGCACCGGTCTGGCTTTTCTCTCCCTTTTATTGGCTAATATATACTTGTTCTTCAAGTTCAAGGATTTTTTCACCTGGGGAACTTTTTAGAGAAAATGCTAATACCTGGGTCCCATTATCAGAGACTGATTTGACTGGACTTGTTTGAGGATGACTCTTCTTTTGTGCAAATCTCTCCCCTAACACCTACAAACTGAGAGTAACCATTCATGTACTCATCTGTTTCCCACAAATTTGTATCCCTGGTACCTAACACAGTATTAGACATGTAGTAGCAACACCTGAATAAATACTTGCTCTATGAATTAACTCCTCAGATTCAGAGGCTAAAGAGTGAGTAATGAATTCTCTGTGGAGAAAATACTTTCTTTTTCAAAGCCTTTATGACTAAGCTGAGTATTAGCTGTTTTACCTGGTACAGAGACTGAAACCACACTCAGTTAAAATCCTACTGGAATATATGCTCGCAAAGGTAAAATTACAGGGAAAGAAAATGGACCATTGGTTGTCAGGGGCTATGGGCAGAGAAAGGGTAGCTACAAAAGGGCACCAAGGAATTTGTGGGGTGATGGAACTGTTCATGTATTGGTTACATGACTGTATATATTTATAAAAACTTATAGAACTGAACACTAAAAAGCGTCGAGTTTCTCGTATATAAATTATACCTTAGTTTAAAAAATTTTTAAATTTTTTAATTTTTTTGTTGAGACAGTGTCTCACTATATTGCCCTGGCTGGTCTCAAACCACCTCAGCCTCCCAAAGTGCTGGGATTACAGGAGTGAGCCACTGCACCTGGACTAATTTTTTTTTTTTAATGGAGAAAAAACACCTAACCATTCCTTGTTTTTTGTGTTTCGGTTGTTGTTTTTGAGTTGGGATCTCATTCTGTCACCCAGGCTGGAGTGCAGTGGCATAGTCACGGCTCACGGCAGCACTGACTTTCCGAGCTCCAGTGATGCTCCTGCTTCGGCCTCCTCAGTGGCCAGGACTACAGCCATGAGCCACCATGCCCAGGCCCCCTGTTACAGTGTAGATTCCTTTACCTCTGGCACATGAAGTGCAAGCATACTGTCTCCTTCAGAGTTTTTTGGTTGGGGCTCTTCAACAGAACTCTCACCAAGACCCCTACCCAAGCCAGGTGTCCGGGGCCCTGTTTCAGAGGAAGCAATTGGAGCAACTGACAATATATGAATCTCTTCAGACCCCTCTTCTTGGTGTTCATTTCTGGAAGAGAGTTTTATAGTATGTTATTTGACATCGGACAAATAGCCAAAGAATTATTTTTAGAGTGAGGTATGCCAGAGAGCATCTAATTCAATGGTTTTCAAACTTTTCTAATATATTTAACACAACAGAACTCTTTTTTCAATCAAATTCTTACAGCTACAACTAATAGCTATAGCTGAAACAATATATAAGGGGGGACCCCCCCAAAAACCAGAATGTATTTATAAAAAATAGTGTATTTATTCTTACATGTTTAAACTTGAGTCACCTTCAAAATACCCTCCATCTGATGCAATACACCTATCAAGATGCTTTTTCCTGCTCAAAACAGTTTTTTGAACATGTCGGTTTTGATGCCCGTTTGTGTTTGTTTTCGTCCCCCCACCCCACCCCAACCACTCAGGCAAAATGCTTCCCTTTGAAGACTTTTTCATCCCGGGAAACAAAATAAAAAAGTCGCTTGGAGTGAGATCGGGTGAACAGAGAAGGTGTAGCACAGAAGTTATGCTGTTTTTGATCAAAAACTGCTGAATACTCAGTGCACTAGAGGCAGGTGCATTGTCATGGTGAACCAGTCACCTGTTTGCCACAACTCAGGATGTTTCTTCTATAATGCGGCCTCTCACAGCAGGGATGGCTGGTACACTAATGCCAATGGATTCCTAGAACACATACCCAGCGGGGTAGGCCTGTATTACAAGGGGCCTGCCCTCCAAAAAATAATTCCAGGGTTTTTTGGGTCCCCCCTCATAAACTAAAGCCCAGAATCTCTTCCTTCTTTTACCTTTTGGTTAGGTTTACTTCTTGAGAAACACTGGTCCCTTTGATACCATGTACACATGCCAATGAGGTCTGCTCCTTACTCTCTGCTGTTGTAACTGGCCCGAGGTTTTTATCTTCCAATTCTGTTGCTTTGGAAGCATTTTTCTCAGTTTCTTAAATGAACAACATATTTAAGATATAGTCAAAATTAGTATAGGTAAGCCTCTATAACAGAAACATGTTCTCTTATTATTTATTTATTTATTTTTAAAAATAGAGACAGAGTTTAACTATGTTGCCCAGCTGGTTTCAAACTCCTGGTCTCAAGTAATCCTCCTACCTCAGCCTACTAAACTGCAGAGATTACAGGTGTGAGCCACTGTGCCCAGTCATATTTTTTCTTAAAAGACAGATCACTAAATAGTGACTCTCCCAACTTCTCTTAATCCAAAAATCATATTTATTCAAATGGGAGAAGGGTGGTCCTGATTAACAGGTTTTTTTGAACAGTAAAGCTAATGATTAATAAATTCTGTACTCGCCACTGCTTTGCCAAGCTCTGGTCTAGCCATGTGGCTTTTTGAGCTACGGCTGCCATGTTTTCCTAAGCTTTGGCCCCCTCCCCTATCTTGGGGTGGTGAATCTCAACTCTTTCTCTCTCTAATTTACTTTCTAAAAAAACTATATTTTCCAATCTAAAAAAATAAAAAATAAATCTTGCACTGCAAATACTTCACTTCTGGTGGTCACAGTAATCATATCCCCATTTTATGGTGAGCACTATTAAAAAGCCTTCTATATAGAAAAAGTAATTTGAGCCTGCATGCTGAGAGAGCTTCTGGAAAAATTAACCTCTCACAGTTTTCGTGTATCTTTCATTGTGTTTGGTGTAACACTATAAACCTTGAATAACACCACAGGACTCATCCAAAGTGCCAATACGATGCTGGAAGCACTCCCCCAAGAAGGAGAGAAGTCATAACAGCACTAGAAAAAGCTGAACTGCTTGATATGTACCGTACATAGAGGCGTGCAGCTGCAGTTGCTGCAATTTCGCAGATGTTTCACCTTGTGAAAAGATGGCACTTAAACTTTTGGTACTGATAAATACAGTACAGTACTGTAAATATATTTTATCTTCCTTACGGTTTTCTTAATTACATTTTCCTTTCTCTAGCTTGCTTTATTTTAAGAATACAGTACATAACTAACATACAAAATATGTGTTAATCAACTGTTTATGTTGTCAGTAAAGCTCTGAGTCAACAGTAGACTACTAGTATTTAAGTCTTGGAGGAGTCAAAAGCTATACATAAATTTCTGACTGCCTGGGAGGTCAGCACACTACAATACAGACAATATATATATAAATGTATATATATTTAGAAGAACAAAACAGATTAAACAAATCCAGTAAAATGGTACTAATCACAAAAACCAGTGGGTGGGTTTATGAACATTTATTTTATAGCTCATTTTATCTTTAGATGCTTGAAACTCTTTCTTTTTTTTTGAGTTGGGGTCTCACTCTGTCGCCCAGACTGGAATGCAGTGGCATAATCATGGCTCACTGCATGCTCAGTCTCTTGAGCTCAGGCGATCCTGCCACCTCAGCCTCTCAAGTCATTGGAACTACAGGCTTAATTTTTTATTTTTGTCGAGATGAGGTCTCACTATGTTGTCTATGCTGGTTTCCAACGCCTGGACTCAAGAAATCCTTCCACCTTGGCCTCCCAAAGTGCTAGGATTATAGGAGTAAGCCACTGTTTCCAGCCTGAAACATTTTTATAATTGGTTAAAACAATTTTAATGACTGAATATTCCCCTGAAGTACTAATGCTATTTCTTGTGTCAAAGTAACTTGTAAGAGACAATAAAATTTACCTCTTTGAGGCTGGGGGCATGGTAGCTCATGCCTGTAATCCCAGCACTTTGGGAGGCCAAGGCAGGAGGACTGCTTGAGCCCAGGAGTAAGAGATCAACCTGGATAATGGGCAAGACTTCATCTCTACTAAAAAATTAAAAGCTAGCCAGCTGTGGTGACATGTGCCTGTAGTCTCAGCTACTCAGGAGGCGGATACAAAAGGATCATGTAAGCCTGGGAGTTCAAGGATGTAGTGAGCTGTGATTGTGCCACAATGAAACATGGGCAATAGAGTGAGATTGTGACTTAAAAAAAAGAACAAGATACAAAATAATAAAACAAAACATACCTCTTTGAGTTTCCAGTTCTTCCCCTTTGGTTACACACAAACTAGGAACTTCTTGATGATCATGAAACCTGTTGGTCCCTAAAATTTTCCTAAGATTTGGTTTAGGCTTGGAAAATCTATTTCTCATTCTCAAATTACTGGTTACTCTAGAAGCTGTATTCCTAGAAACAGAAGATAAGGAGAGAAATGTATCAACCATGTGAGATCTTGATCTCTCGCATCGATACATTCTGTCTAGCCCTGATACAGTTAATGTGCACCTGTTAGCTGTCAACACAGTATACAAGTGTCCTGTCTTAATACCAAAATTACAAAGTAGTGATTTTACTAAAGGTCTTGAGAAGAGAATCTAGACTATGTTTGTGAAACAGACTATATTTATACAGATCTTAGGTCTCATTAAAGATTCAAAGACATACAACATATACTGCTATAATTTTAGTATGCAAACCATTAAAGTAAAATCAGAATCAGCTAATCTTTACATTAGAGGATAAGAAATTAGCATCGCCTATTCTACATTTACAAGCATTACTTACAGTTATAACTAAATTGGTGGGTTTAGTCATGTTTAATAATTGAATACCTGGCTAGTGAAGAATTCTCTTCTATGCTCTCCATTAAAGTAACTTCTTCTCTGATACTTTGTTCCTCCAACACAATCTTGTTTTCTTCAAATGATGCAGAAAACATACCAATGACAGGTGAAGAAAGCTCCTGATATTCATGAACAATTTTGTGATTTACATTATCTGGGCTAAAAGGAATATGGCTTTTATCCTCTGAATGGACATGAGGAAGCACACATACTCCTACTGCAGAAAAAAACAGAAAATTTTTAAAACTCCAGTATAAATACGTGTTCAAATGAAACAAACTCTTTAATATTCAGGAATTACAAAATTCGATATTGTTACTGAAGTTTGCTTTTTTGGGCTGCAAACTTACATTTGTGATCTTATATTTTATGCCAGGGATTTGACCTGTTGTGAGCTTAATAATTCTTACAGACTGAAACGTCATGCTACTACAAGTAAAAATAATTTCTTCTGTTAGTTCCAGTAACCACATAACCTCAGAGGAATTTCAAGATAGGACTGCTTTCATTTATAACTTTTTGAAACCTCTATCTTATGTCCTATAAATTTGTGACTGGCTCCACTGCAATACTATGCCATTGAGAAAAGAGACCTATGGATCATAAATCCTGATAAATATATAGTTACAAGCCTAAAAGTGTCTCTTTAAAAATTTATATATATATATATATATATATATTTTTTTTTTTTT